GGCATGTGCCACCATGCCTGGCTAATTTTTGTATTTTTAGTAGAGATGGGGTTTCACCATTTGGCCAGGCTGGTCTCAAACTCCTGACCTCAAGTGATCTGCCGGCCTCAGGCTCCCAAAGTGCTGAGATTATACGTGTGAGCCACCACGCCTGACCTGTTTTTACATTTTCTGTTCTGGAGCACGTCAATCATGTTCTCAGTGTTTTTCCTAAGTGAGAGATGAGTGGAGATGCTTTCCAGAGGGGATTTCCCCTAGCTAACTGTAAGTTCCCTTTTTTATAGTACTTTTCCTAATTGTTAATTTTTACTGTTCATAAGCATTTCTTCAAATATTGTTAAATATTAATATTAAATATTTCTGTTATTTAAAATAGAATTTACATTTAAAAATCTTAATATTTATTATTTATGAAGTAATATTTCTATTATTTAAATATTTATCATTAATATTAAATGCCTACTGTTTAAATATTTATCATAAATAATATTTCTATTATTTAAAATAGAATCGGTATATTTTTACCCCCTTTAAGTTAAAAAAAAGAGAGAAGCAAGAGAATAAATCCTTTCTCAGACTTAGTTTATGCTTTTGGCAAACTTTTCATCTTTTCAGTTGAATTAGTGACAATGACTTGTTGCATTAGAAGACTACGGAGCCAAGGTGGTGGCTCATGCCTGTAATCCCAGCACTTTGGGAGGCTGAGGTGGGTGGATCACGACGAGGTCAGGAGTTCGAGACCAGCCTGGCCAAGATGATGAAACTCCATCTCTACTAAAAATACAAAAATTAGCCAGGCTAATTGGTGGTGGGTGCCTGTAATCTCAGCTACTCCAGAGGCTGAGGCACAAGAATTGCTTGAACCCAGGAGGCAGAGTTTCCAGTGAGCCAAGATTGTGTCACTGCACTCCAGCCTGGGCAACAGAACGAGACTCTGACTCAAAAAAAAAAAAAAAAAAGAGCTGTAACATCTTAAAAAGCTTTAGCAATTCAAATTACTTTAATGATACAAGTCGGCCACTTTTGCTTATTAATTTTCTGTGGAGAAACAATTATAATCTGTGCTATGTAGCCATGTATATAATTTATAAAAAAGGCATACCTAGTCTTTGGAAGAGAGGAACTTGTGCTAGTTGCTTTAAGTATGTTTGTGTGTGAGGCACTCTGGGAAGTTTATATTTTGAGATTTTGAGGACAAAATTTTTTTTTTTTTTCTGAAAACTGGCAGAATGGATTTTTTTTTTAATTAAAGAAAAATTTGTTTAAAAAGAAAGCATATGGCTGGGTGCGGTGGCTCACGCCTGTAATCCCAGCACTTTGGGAGGCCGAGGTCGGGAGGGGATCGTGAGGTCAGGAGTTCGAGACCAGTACGACCAACATGTTAAAACCCCATCTCTACTAAAAATACAAAGATTAGCTGGGCATGGTGGTGATCACCTGTAATCCCAGCTACTCAGGGAGCTGAGGCAGGAGAATCACTTGAACCTGGGAGGCAGAGGTTGCAGTGAGCTAAGATCGCGCCACTGTACTCCAGCCTGGGCGACAGAGCAAGACTCTTTCTCAAAAAAAAAAAAAAAAAGAAAGCATTTTTTCCCGAATTAGGACTGCCAGTGGAGCTAATTATGATCTTGTGTTCCTTGCATACTTTTGCACCCTTTGGTGAAGGTGGCTTGTTGCTGAGAGATCATTTGTTTACTGTGCATTGGATTTCAGTTCTAGATGACTAAGCTCTATTTATTAAGCAGGGTGAGTTTATGCAAAATAGCAGCACAGAAGTGGAAATAGCCACACAGTTTAGTAACTGCCATGAATATTTCACACATCAGACTCAACACACCATGAAGACATCTCCTATAGTTTCTCATCATTTACATGTTTTTTCCTTAACAGTGTTTGCATTACAATCACTTTATTCATAAATCAAATGGTCCACGTAAAAGAAATTATATAGAGGAAAAATTGTTGCGAGACTTGTTTACCAGAGTTTTTACTTAAGCTAGTTCCCAAAGCCTATAAAGAAAAAGGTTTATTTTCAGGTGAACTGTTTAACTCATCAGGGTATACAATGCATCTTATGTAGAAGTTAGACCCCTTCTGAAGAAATTTCCTGAAATGTATTTTTATTTAGGTACAAAAGCTTAAGTTGTAAGACACTCTAGTAAAGTGTGTATGTGTGTGCTTGTGTTTTTCTAACCATAGAAAACATCATTTTAGTGAATATTCAAGTATACAATGGTACTGTCTGCTTCTTCAGAAGCTTCTGCGACAATAGGGATACAGCCTAAATGTACCATGTGTTACGTTGAATCAGGTTCCAGGGAGAGGGCTGTATATCATTGAGAAAACAGGCCTTTGCTTTCAGAAAGGTAATCTGGAAATCTAAACTACAATGATCCCACCACATATTGTCATACCTTTATAACGATGAATTACTAACATACTGTTTTCATTTTATCCCTAAACTCACCTAGAGTCTAAACATACAATCTTCCTTTCTTTTCCCTCCCTCCCTCCTTGATTTTTCTTTCTTCCTTTTTATCCCTTGCTTTCTCTCTTTCTCTTTCTTTTCTTTTCTTTCTTTCTTTTCTCTCTCTCTCTCTTTTTTTTGGAGACAGAGTCTCGCCATGTCGCCAGGCTGGAGTGCAGTGGTTCGATCTCAGCTCACTGCAGCCTCTGCCTCCCTGGTTCAAACGATTCTCTTGCCCCAGCCTTCCGAGTAGCTGGGATTACAGGCACATGTTACCACACCAGGCTGATTTTTGTATTTTTAATAGAGATGGGTTTTCACCATGTTGGCCAAGCTGGTCTCAAACTCCTGACCTCAGGTGATCCACCCACCTCATCCTCCCAAAGTGTTGGGATTACAGGTATGAGCCGGCATGCCTGGCTCCTTTTTTTAAAGGACAAAGTCTCACTCGGTTGCCCAGGCTGGTGTGCAGTAATGCAATCTTGGCTCTCCGGGGCTCAAGCCATTCTCCCACCTCAGCCTCCCAAGTAGCTGGGACTACAGGCAGCACCATCATACCCAGCAAATTTTTGTATTTTTTTGTAGAGATGGAGTTTTGTCATGTTGCCCAGGCTGGTCTTAAACTTCTGGACTCAATTGATCTGCCCACCTCAGACTCCCAAAGTGTTGGGATTACAGGCATGAGCCACTGAGCCTGACCCAAAATCTCCGTTTCTTATAGTAAATCTATTCAATCTATGTATTAAGGGAAGGAAGATGAGTAATCACAGTTCTTGCCCAAAAGGAGTAACAACAAGAGTAAGAACAAAATGCTGTGGACTCAGTACATATGGGTAAAGGCCATTAGCTCTATAACAATTTTAAGGTGAGGCAGGTGATTTATTCAATTCTACAGATTTGAGCCTTTTTATGTTTCAGTGTAAGATGTTTATTTTGGCTGGGCGTGGTGACTCACACCTATAATCCTGGCACTTTGGGAGGCCAAGGCAGATGAATCACAAGGTCAAGAGATAGAGACCATCCTGGCCAACCTGATGAAACCTCATCTCTACTAAAAATGCAAAAATCAGCTGGGGTGGCCACATGAGCCTGTAGTTCAAAAGGCTGAGGCAGGAGATCACTTGAACCCAGGAGGTGGAGGTTGCAGTGAGCCGAGATCGCACCACTGCAGTCCAGCCTGGGTGACATATCGAGACATCATCTCAAAAATAAAATTTTTTATTTTATTTTATGTAAGTCAATGTGTGATAAAGTTAAATGCACGCAAGGAAGACGCAGCTCCGTGGTTGGCTCTGGGGAGCAAGGGGTGAAAAGAGAGCTTCTGAAAGGAGGGGAGAGGACAGCGGCTTTCTCTTCTTAGGAATCTTGGGAATTTTCTCAAGCTTCCTGGCTGCCCAGAGGAAGTAGTTTGACCTTTGCCTGGCTGCTACGTATTGGAATGAGATCCCATCCTGGTGACTCCTCTCTTGCAAAAGGCTCAGAATATTTTGTTTCCACTTTTTTTTTTTTTTTTTTGAGACGGAGTTTCGCTCTTGTTACCCAGGCTGGAGTGCAATGGCGGGATCTCGGCTCACTGCAACCTCTGCCTCCTGGCTTCAGGCAATTCTCCTGCCTCAGCCTCCTGAGTAGCTGGGATTACAGGCATGCGCCACAGTGCCCAGCTAATTTTTTTGTATTTTTAGTAGAGACAGGGTTTCACCATATTGACCAGGATGGTCTCGATCTCTTGACCTCGTGATCCACCCGCCTCGGTCTCCCAGAGTGCTGGGATTACAGGCTTGAGCCACCGCACCCGGCCTGTTTCCAGTTTTTGTTTCTATATTCTTTCCATTGAAAAGTATTATCTGGCAGAGCGTGGTGACTCACACCTGTAATCCCAGCAATGTCAGAGGCTGAGGCAGGAGGATTGCTTGAGCCCAGGAGTTTGGGAGGAACCTAGGCAACATGGCAAGACACTGTCTCTACAGAAAGTTAAAAAATAAGCCGGGCTTGGTGGCCTGCCCCTGTGGTCCTAGCATCTTGAAAGGTTGAGGTGGAAGAATCGCTTGAGCCCAGGATTTCAAGGCTGAAGTGATCTGTGATTGCTGCCACTGCACGCCAGCCTGGGGGACAGAGAAAGACCTTATCTCAAAAAAAAAAAAAAAAAAAGCAATTAAGAATTCAGAAAACATTTTAACATTAACATTGTACATTTAGTTTAAACATTACATTTAGGCTGGGCACGGTGGCTCACACCTGTAATCCGTAATCCTAACATTTTGGGAGGTTGAGGCAAGTGGACTACTTGAGACTAGGAGTTCAAAACCAGCCTGGCCAACATGGTGAAACCCCATCTCTACTAAAAATACAAAAAAATTAGATGAGCGTAGTGGCAGGTGCCTGTAATCCCAGCTACTTGGGAGGCTGAGGCAGGAGAATCGCTTGAACCCAGGAGTTGGAGGTTGCAGTGAGCTGAGATCGTGCTACTGCACTCCAGCCTGGGCGACAAGAACAAAACTCTGTCTCAAAAAACAAACAAACAAAACCCATTACATTTAATATTTACCATTAACATCATATACTGATATTATCAGTCTAGCTAACATTACAATGACAAATCTTGCCACATCAGTACTAACACACTTAACTTGCACAGACATAGAATACAATTTGTATGAAGCATCTTATGGAATTCAGCCTCCTGCGGCCACCAGACATTTCAAGGCTCTGTGAGGGCAAGGGCTTGTTTTGGGTTCAAGGCAAGGTAAACCACAAGACATTGAGCAGGGACCAGTCACCACTTGGAGGAGATGATACATAACTTTTTCTAGAAGTTTGTTTTCTTCAATTATATGATTTAAAGAAAAGGCAGCCCCAGTTCATATGGTGTTGGAGAATCTTGGAAAAACAAATTCACATTCTTTTCTCTCCACTTGATCAACTACCGTGCAATTCTAAATTCCCAGGAGGCGGTGGGTTTGACTTCACTGGACTCAGTCTGAAATGAGGTGGTTTCTTTATTTGATAAGTTCCTCGGCTAAAGTTTCAGCAACTGTTCTCAAGGAAATGCTATCTCTTTATTGTAAGAAAAGCTTTTCGTACCAAATTTTCGGTGTTCTGGTTGTTCCAAAATACTGGGGATGGAAATGTTGGCTGTCAGAAAGCCTCTTCCACTATTGGTGGGAAAAAAAAAAAAGAACAGTCTATTTGCATCATATGAGGGATCGTAGAGATTTCCCATTCCAAGTCCCTTCTTTTTTCAGATGAGGAAACTGAGGCCCAGGGAGGTTAACTGAAATAATACCGATAATACCGAGGGCTCGCCCTGCACTTGGGGTGGGAATGAGATCCCTGGGTTTTTAGTGAATGGAATGCAATTCTTTAAACATCCTCGCCTGTTTATAAATTGCACGTTAACTCCCTGAGGCTGTGAGCTTGGCTGAGCGTTACTGTTCACAAGTGTATCTTTTTACTTAAGGATTAGGAACTGTGTGCTGACCTAGCCCAGGTGAGCTTTGATTTTGCTCCAGGTCAACATCGGAAACCTCGTCTATTATAGGAAAGGAACAGGAAAATCCAGTATGAGATTTCACACACAGATTTAGTCTCCTGATAGGACTCCAGGTTCCTGGTGCTGTTGCTTTCGCTTCCCTGCTAATGATTTGATCGTGTTACCTCTCCTTTGTGATTTAGGTTCTTCTGAAATGATGTCAGTAATGGTCTAAGCCAGTCTGCCTTAGTCAATAAATATTTGCCTCTGGTCTGCATCATTTTCTTTTCGCTGTTTAACATGTAACTTTTGTAACTTTTTGTTGGTTATTATTTTTTTTCTGAGTGAATTTCACACCACCCCTAAATGAAAGCTACATGAAGGCATCAGCCCTCTGGTCTGTATTATTCTCTTTTCCCTGTTTAACATGTAACCCTTTGTTGTTGTTTTTTTTCTGAGTGAATTTCACACCACCCCTAAAGGAAGCTACATGAAGGCATCAGGCCTAGCTTAGTGTTTTTCGCATCATTAATTCTAAGTAACATTTCTGAAGCTACTTGAAAACTGAAATTGTATAAGGTGAGCTACTGAAAAGTCATTAGTACAAGGCATTAATGTATTGTCTTGGTAATGATAAATTTCCATGTGTCAGAATTGCACAGAATTCCTACAGTCACACAAGTTCCTCTTTCCCAGGGATTTCTGTGTACAGGTCAAACCTCTATAAAATAAAGCTGTCAAAAGACAAAATTACAACCATTTTAGTGTAAAGATCAAACTGCCTTTTATGTGTGATGTTAGAATGGGCAGCGCTTCCTTCTGTACGATAGAGTGAGGGTTCTGGTGGGTGGAGCAGAGGAGTTTTGCTTTATAGGCAGAAAAAGGCTGAAGAGAGCAGAAAGAGGGGACGAAGTATGGACTGATCATTTCAAATGTACTTTCCCTACAGACGGCTGAAACAGAAGGGAACTTCCTTGTCACTCGGGCTCTGGTACACTAGGCTCCTTTTGACTGGTTGTTGTATATCCAGTCAAATATACTGGGAAAACTGGTCTGTTTTAGAGCTCATTCCGATCTCGTGGCAATTAGCTGACTGACTCCATACTGGTCAAACAAAAGCCTTTTATAACTGTGTCTAGCAGAGGTTGCCATTTCTTTCACGGTCCCTTTTGTCTTAGAATCAATTGTTTGAATGACCAGGTATTGTCATCTCCAAGGGAGGATCTATCTTGGAAATTTCTAGCTAGTCCCCTTTTTTTTTCTTTTCTTTTTTTTGAGATGGAGTCTCACTCTGTCGCCAGGCTGGAGTGCAGTGGCACAATCTTGGCTCACTGCAACCTACGCCTCCCAAGTTCAAGCTATTCTCCTGCCTCAGCCTCCTGAGTTGCTGGGACTACAGGTGCCTGCCACCACACCTGGCTAATTTTTTGTATTTTTAGTAGAGACGGGGTTTTACCATGTTGACCAGGATGGTCTCAATCTCTTGACTTCATGATCCGCCTGCCTCAGCCCACCTTGCCTGGCCGCAGTCCCCTTTCCTTAATAGTGGACACTTGTATTCCCAAAAGGAATGAGGATAAATGGACCAGTGTTTCATGGACCATGTCCTGCAAAACTCCTGTGTATTTACTTACAGATGATGGGCAGGAGTAAGAGGGAAGCACTGCCTTCGGCTTGATTCAGTCCCTAGAATGACATTGCGTGGCCACCCGTCTTATGCCCAGAGAATGTTTTCCCTCTGTGGCTATGTCTTTAAGACAGAAAAGGAAAAGACTTAAAACCACTAGATAATTCCAGGAGGAGGCTACTTTTCTTTGTTGTGCTTCTGTTGTTGACACTTCTGTTCTCAAGGTTAATTACATATTTGGTTAATTGATTTAATTAGTTAATTGGTTTGCTGAGCCTGCCTCTCTGGTAAGAATTCAAATGCAAATTTACACTGGGATATGCCCTTTCATTGCTGGTGGCGTATAACCAAGACACACACTAGTTAATTATAAGTGCTTGTTTTGGGAAATTTGCTACTTGTTCTCTGAAGCAGATTTTCTTTTACTTTACTACACTAGCAGAGCAAATGCCAATTTCCTGCCAATTCAGAAGTCTGTTCTAATGCAGCAAAGAAGGAGATGGGAAGGGCCAGGTCTGGAAGCATGAGGTGTGGTTGTAGAAAACAGATTTGTGGGTTGACGGTGACATCTGCTTTGACCCTCCCAGTGCCTGCTGGGTTCTGGGGCCAGAACTGGACACAGTGACTTGAAATGTGAAGACAGCCTCCTTCCGGGGTGTGTTGTGTGTCTTTTCCACCTCAGCAGAGAAAACAAGAAAATGTAACTGGATTCATGGTGTCAATTTGGAATGTCAACACTTTCTGAATAACCAATAAAAAATGAATTCTGGCCAGGTATGCTGGCTCATATCTGTAATCCCAGCACTTTGGGAGGCTAAGACGGGCGGATTGCCTGAATTCAGGAGTTCAAGACCAGCCTGGATAACATGGCAAAACTCCGTCTCTACTAAAAAAAAAGAAAAAAATTAGCCAAACATGGTGGCACACGCCTGTAATCCCAGCTACTCAGGAGGCTGAGGCAGGAGAATCACTTGAACCTGAGACACGGAGGTTGCAGTGAGCCAAGATCGCACCATTGCATTCCAACCTGGGTAAAGTGCGAGACTTCATCTAAAAAAAAAATTTTTTTTCTAGGTTGCTGGTGGAATAAGAAAAAGCTTAAAAAGTGTTTCACTTAGATGGGTTTTACAGTTCTAGATTAACTCTCTAATCATCTCTAGTCCTTCCTATTTGCAATCTGCCAGATTGAAAATAGAAAAATCAGGCTGGGCATGGTGGCTCACACCTGTAATCCCAGCGCTTTGGGAGACAGAGGCCAGTGAATCACTTGAGCTCAGGCATTTAAGACAAGCCTGGCCAACATGGTGAAACCCTGTCTCTACTAAAAATACAAAAAAAATTAGCTGGGCATGATGGCTCTCACCTGTAATCCCAGCTACTTGGGAGGCTGAGGCAAGAGAATGGCTTGAACCTGGGAGGCGGAGGTTGCAGGGAGGTGGAGGTTGTAGTGAGCCGAGATCTCACTATTGCACTCTAGCCTGGGCAACAGAGCAGACTCCGTCTCAAAAAAAAAAAGAAAAGAAAAATTATATTTTTCACAGATGACTTTATTGATATCGAGCAAATTATTAGCTTCTCTCTCTTTTTTTAAGGCTAGTCAAGTGCAGTAGTGAGAAGGAGGAAAAGAGTAGAACAAGGAGTTCAATCTGAAACTGGCTGAATAATCAATTGAGATAGCTCACTACCTTCAGACCAGCCTATCAGCCTATCTTGTTTGGCATCTTGAAGATCCAAGTTTAGAAATGTTCCAGGGTCCTCTGTCCTTGATAAGTTGTACTCATAATGGAGTGAGTTGAGGGTTGGTCTTGCCACGTGCGTTTGCTCATGTGGTTCTGAGAAATCTGGAAATAATGTGGCTGATGACTTTAAAGCTGGTGGTAGATCCTTTTAACTGGAGAACGGAGCCTGTCCATTGTTGGATGACTTTGTTTTGTTTTGTCTTTAATTGTGGGTTTCTCATTTCCGATGCAGGGCTAACAAATTTGTAACCTCCTTGGCAGTCTTTGCCTGAGATTCTTCTTTCCTCTCCTCTGTAATTAGAGAGCTTTCTGTAATCTTTCATCAGACTTTCCTTTGAACTAGCTTAATTATGTCTCATTCCAGCTTTATTGATTGGTGTCGCTAATTGATCATTTTTCTTCCATAATATTGCTTTATGCACTTTAAAAACAATTACAACTCTTTACATGTCCATCTTCTCCATTGCCAAAATATTCTTTAAGAAAGGTAGAATTATTTTTTAAATTGCAGAAGTCATATCACAGTGGTAGCATTTGACCTTTGTTTTTCCTTCTGAATCAGTCTTTATACTGCTCCCTACAAATCATACTTCAAGTGATGCTTTCTTTGGATTTGAGGTTGCAAACCCAAACATGAGACCAGCATCCTATAACCAGCGCGGAAGTCCATGGCAGAGGTTCTCAGGCTCTGTGCTGTGTGTGGAACTCTTGTTCATACATCCCAGTGTCAGAGGCCATTTCCTCTTTTTTTAGGGAGCTTGGGGAGAAAGGCGGTGGCAACACTGTCTCATTGATGACTCATGTTCCCGTGTCTGTGAGCGTTAGGGAGAATGACAGAGCTCTCCAGAACAGGGTCCTGAGGGCCCGCAGCACTGCTCAGTAGGGTCTGATTCCTTCCGCTTTATATGGTGAGGTGGTCATAGAGTGTCCCAGCCTTTGTGAGGAAATGAGATGGGGGCCCAAACAGACCAGACTTGTGGGGAAGGAAAGAAAAGAAAAAAAGGAAAAAATTAGAGAGGGGAAAGAGGGTGATTAAAGGCAGAGAAAGAAAAGAGAGCCATAGAAACAACGAGAAAAAAGAGACGCATTGGAATGGCATTTAAAAAGTCACTGTTAGGCCAGGCGTGGTGGCTCATGCCTGTAATCCCAGCACTTTGGGAGGCCGAGGCGGGTGAGGCAGAGGTGGGTGGATCATGAGGTCAGAAGTTCGAGACCAGCCTGGCCAATATAGTGAAACCCCGTCTCTACTAAAAATACCAAAATTAGCAGACAGGGTGGCGCACACCTGTAATCCCAGCTACTTGGGAGGCTGAGGCAAGAGAATTGCTTGAACCCCAGAGGTGGAGGTTGTGGTGAGGCAAGATCACGCCACTGCATTCCAGCCTGGGTGACAGAGCAAGACTCTGTCTCAAAAAAAAAAAAGTCACTCTTATGGTTATTCCTGCCTTTGCATTGATGGAAAGAAAATAGTTTAGTGTCCAACTCTAAAACACTCTAGCTGTGAACTTATGGATCCAAATTTGTCCTGTGTGAAAGACGTGTTAATCATCTGGTGTCTGTTGCTTGCATCTTGGCAAAGGTTATCTCCTAGGTGCTGTGCAGTGGGATTTGCTTTGTGGAAGAGGAGGTGAAGGGAAGAGAGGAGGGTAGAGGGGCCCTAGGCAGGAAGAGGGGGATCTGCTGGGAGGCCTCCCTTCCAGAGGAGCCAGCAGCCTGGTAAAGCACAGCCCAGTGTCAGGTGTCTCAGATGTTGAGGAATAGGGTTGACTGGACCAGGATGCAGGATGGATGAGACCCCCAGGGTCACTGGAGAGATGCCATTATATGGTTCAGGCTCCTGTAGGCTGCCCTTTAGTTAACTAAACAACCAGAGGAGCATGGATTTCATGCCAATTAGCAAATATTCCCATGCTGGTGTTTCACTTGTGAAATTATTAACATCAGGTATAACTCCTATGGCTCCCTGGAAGCCAGTCACCTCTTCCGATGAGAGGATGTTTTGTTTTCTTGCCCGTATCTAACATTCACAAACTCAGTTAGTGTCAACCATCAACTAACATTAATATTGACCTTGGAGGCCAGTGAAGTCAGAGATGAAGACTGAAACTGGGATCACACATGCTCTTAGTTTCGCCATCTGCAGAAATATCAGGAGAAATAATAGGGATATTCATCCCCACTGACAGCCTGGCCCCTTTTAGCACCTTCTGTTTGCCTTGCCTTATGCCCCCAGAACTGTGCTTGGTCCTGCAGCTCTGCCTGCTGTGGCCACTAGCAACAGAGATGATCACAGCAGCCCTCGGAGTGCTCACTGTGCGTCAGACAACGCGCTAAGTGCTGAATGCATGTCAGGTCACGGAATACTCCAAACTATAAGGTACCTTGTTTATATTTTACAAGTGAGCAAACTGAGTCTCAAGCCACAGTCAAATATGAGCAACTCCCCTCCTGCTGCGGGGAGGGCAAAGACAGAATCTGTCTTGTTAGCCACTGTTTCTCCAACCTCGGGTCTCTTTTGTGCTATGTAATAGAGTGTGTGCCTGGGCCATTTTAACTTTTCTGTCATCAGTCAGATGGGGTTTAGAGTAGAGGCAGAGAGATCTGAGAAGAAACCCTTTAGTAATAGGAGTGAGGAAAGATGGATCCCTGGACTAAGGTGATAGCAATGAGAATAGGGAGAAGGTGGATTTGAAAGTGAGTACACACTTTGGGAGGCCAAGACGGGTGGATCACCTGAGGTCAGGAGTTGGAGACCAGCCCAGCCAACGTGATAAAACCCCATCTCTACTAAAAATACAAAAATTTGGCCAGGTGCAGTGACTCATGCCTGTAATCTCAGCTCTTTGGCAGGTCAAGTCAGGTGGATTGCTTGAGGTCAGGAGTTTGAGACCAGCCTGGCCAAGATGGTGAAACCCCATCTTTACTAAAAATATAAAAATTAACTGGGCATGGTGGCTCATGCCTGTAATCCCAGCTACTCAGGAGGCTGAGGCAGGAGAATCGCTTGAACCTGGGAGGCAGAGGTTGCAGTGAGCCAAGATCACACCATTGCACTCTAGCCTGGGCAACAAAAGTGAAACTGTGTCTCAAAAGAAAAGTGAATAAAGAAGCGGGGCTCATCGATGTAATGACTGACTGGAAGTCATGATTCAGACCTGGACCCCTGGGCTGGGAGTGAGAGGGGTCTGACCTGTTCCTTCCCTCAGCACACACCACCACCCTTTCCTGCAGTCCTCTGTGTCCTGTGTTTATATCTGGAAGTGTGGCTTTAGCCAATGCATCCAGAAGTCTAGTAAACGTCTGTGAAACCCAGAAGAGCTGAGGAAGCCCTGCGTCATGCATGACCTTGGATCCTCACCCAGACTCTCTTTGCAGGGGGCCACTGCCCCAGCTGCTGGGTCATTTGGGAAGCATACACCTGTGAGACCCTTGCGAAAAAGTCTCTTGACTCACAGGAGCCCCCCTGCCTGGAGACGTCTGGGTAGGTACCTCAGGATGATTTTTCCCACCACATACACGCTGAGGGCTGGCCAAGCAACTAGCAGATACAGAGCCAGAACGACGGGGACCCGTTACTTCAAGGCCAGGCAGCTCTGTGGTTTGATGGATTGCTCTGTCACCTCCTCCCTGTCCCGGACCAGGCTGAGACTGGGCTTTCCCGGAGACCACAGCCTGCTTCCTGACTTTGTCCTCATGGTCCCCGCTTCTCTCACTCACTCTTAGGGGCTGAATGATGTCTCCTGCTCCCAATTCATATGCCGAAGGCCTAACCCCCAGTACCTCAAAATGTGACCGTGTTAGTAGATAGGGCCTTTTTTTTTTTTTTTTGAGACAGAGTTTAGCTCTTGTTGCGTAGGCTGGAGTGCAATGGCATGATCTTGGCTCACTGCAACCTCCGCCTCCCAGGTTCAAGTGATTCTCCTGTCTCAGCCTCCTGAGTAGCTGGGGTTACAGGCATGTACCACACACCCGGCTAATTTTGTATTTTTAGTAGAGATGGGTTTTCTCCATGTTGGTTGGGCTGGTCTCAAACTCCCGACCTCAGGTGATCCACCCACCTTGGCCTCCCAAAGTGCTGGGATTACAGGTGTGAGCCACCGCGCCTGGTCTGATAGGGCCTTTAAGAGGGTAGTAAATTAAAATGGGACTGTTAGAATGGGCCCTAACTCACTCCGACTGGTGTCCCTATAAGAAGAGGAAATGCGGACACACAGGCCTGAGATGCTCATGCAGAGGAGGGACCGTGCGAGGAAGCCGTGGGAAGGCGGCCATCTGCAAGCCAAGGAGAGAGCCCTCAGGAGAAACCTAACCCACTGACACGCTGATCTTGAACATCTAGTCTCTAGAACTGTGAGAAAATTAACTTCTGTGGTGGAAGCCTCCTAGTCTGTGGCAACGCCTGCAAATTAGCAGACTCCCTCACATGTTTTTCCTGAAGTGTAATCCTTCAATAAGCCGAAAGCCCGGGATCCTGGTCTCACGTGCTGCTTCTAGGGAACTTGACCAAAGCCTCAAAGGGACTAAGGAAACAATGCTCAGACTGTATTCCAAGTGCGCCAGCCCTTTGCTGATTATTTCATTAGCTTGTTAGTGGAGAGTTAAGACCCAGGCAACAGAGAGGCTCCCAAGGGCTTCCTAGGACAGCATGTTCTGTGGCCAGTCCAGGATTCAGAAGGTGAGGGATCCCCAAGTTTCATCTGGGAATAGGGCCTCTCTCTTTTCCCCAGTTGTTCGACCTTCCGCATCTTAAAGAAATCTATGTTAAATTAAGTTCTAATATACACATACATTAATTTGTTTCTGGTTAAAATCAGAAAGACCTTCAATCTTGATAAAAACTAATTTCACTCTATCAGAACATGAACTTCTTTTTTTTACCCCGATGCCAAATGCTTTTGATTTGGTTGTACCCTGCAGCTACCGACATAGCAGATAAATGAAGGCTCAGAGTGGATTAAAAAACACTCAGGACTGGGAATTGAGAGGCCCAGATCAAGTTCTGCTGTAGAAGTCTATTTTCACACTGCTGTAAAGATACTATCTGAGACTGGGTAATTTTTTTTTTTGAGATGAAGATTCTCTTGTTGCCCATGCTGGAGTGCAATGATGTAATCTTGGCTCACCGAAACCTCCGAGTCCTGGGTTCAAGTGATTCTCCTGCCTCAGCCTCCCGAGTGGCTGGGACTATAGGCATTCGCCACCAAACCCAGCTAATTTTGTATTTTTAGTAGAGATGAGTTTTCTCCATGTCAGTCAAGCCTGACTGTCTGTCTCGAAGTCCTGACTTCAGGTGACCTGCCCGTTTCGGCTTCCAAAGTGTTGGGATTACAAATGTGAGCCACAACACATGGCAAGGCGGGTAATTTATAAAGGAAAGAGGTTTAGCTGACTCACAGTTCCACAAGGCTGAGGAGGCCTCAGGAAACTGACCATCATGGCAGAAGGTGAAAGGGAAGCAAGGTGTGTCTTACCATGGCAGCAGGAAAGAGACAGAGTGAAGGGGGAAGTGCCGCACTTTGAAACCATCAGATGTCATTACAACTCACGTTCACGAGAACAGCAAGGGGCATGTCCGCCCCCCCGTGATTCAATCACCTCCCAGTAGGCCCCTCCCCTGACACATGGGGATTACAATTCAACATGAGATTTGGGCGGGGACACAGAGCCAAACTGTGTCATCTGGTTCAACCAGTTGTCTGATTTAGACCTTCTATTATTCCTGGCTTTTGGTTTCTGAAACAACTCTTCTGTCCAAAAGAGCAAAAACACAAAAACAAACAAAAAACCACAGAGAAAAAAGGAATCCGAAAAACTCTCTGAATCTTATTTCCTTCTAAGATTCAAATTTTTCCTACAATCCTGGGTATTTCAGTCAAAGGTGTTCCAGCTTCTCAGGTTGCTCCAATCAGAACCGTCTCACCTCTCCGCTGTTTGCAGGTGGATCTCAACCCACGCTTTGTGCCAGGTTTCATT